GGGATCTACCCTTGCACCACAGCAAATACAGAACTCCATCTCTCTCTCTCCTGTGAGTGGGGGTGGGGGCCAGTGTAGGGGCAGTTGTCTTTCTTGTATTTCATTGGCTCAAGATATTATCTTACTTAGAAAGAAGAAAATGGTAATTCTAGAAATAAAAATGTTTGTCCAGCTAGACTGGGCCACATAGTACAAAATGATCTGATCCACTGTAGGTTTTAAACAAAAACATTGTTGCTATCTGAACCCAGAATAGCATAGCCTGTTTCTCTATTTAAAAGGGAAAAAAGAAAAATCACAACAACTGGGCATGGGAAAACTACCCACACAAGACTGAGGCCTGATTTCACCTCTTTCCTTTCATACCAACCAAGGTTAGATGATCACAAACAGATCCTTACCCTGCTTCCCAGAATTGTTGTGAGGATTAAATGAAATAACAGAATTACTCCATCAAGTGCAAAATGCCACATAAATACTAGTGAGGTTATTACAAGAAGGGAACTGGAATCGCTCCAGGTTTGTGCTGGAGACGGCAGCAATGAACTGAACAGACAGCTGGGCAAATGTGCCAGACAGGAAGCACGTCTGACTTCTGAATACAGGCTGGATTCCCTTTCCCTGAGCTACACCTGCCAGACTGGAAGCCCCTAGTGCTTCAGTCATGAATGGGCACGTCCTGTCCAGAGCTCTAGGGCCTTGCCCCAGTCTGGCCTTTGGCTCCACCCTGCTGTGCTGGCCCAGAGCCAAGTCTGGGCTGACTTCCCCTCTAATATGCCTGGTACTACCTCTTCCAGTACCATCAGGCCTTAAGCCAGCATCTCAAGTTTTGCATGACACAAGTGGCCCAATAATGAGAACACTCCTTCCTGCGTGCTCGGGAATTTCCCTTCCCTCCTCTTTCCCCTTAAATCATTCGTATTTCCGCTTCTTCCATATTTCTCATCTACGCCAGGGCTCCAAAATAGGATGCAGGAGGTTACCAAGCCGGTAACAGAGCAAAGGAACCAGTTTGGCCCATTAACCATGCCTCTGAATTGGGTCAGCTGCTTCCACTACTGCTAATTCCTTGCTAACTCCTTGTTTCCAGTAGCTAAAACATGATAGGTTCTCAATAACTATTTGTTGAATGAAAACAAATATCAAATTAATGAATCGGCAAATACATACCAGATGAAACCCTAGGCCTTTTCCAGGACCCTGACTTCCCATATCCCTGACCTGCTTTTCAACTGCTCTTATGGTCAAAATACTAGGGCAGCCTCAGCTTGGTTTCCCAGATTGACTTTGACTTTATGTTCTATATGCACAAAGAATGACTGTCAGCACATCTATTCTTTTGTGTGGGTTTTGAAAGAAAAAAGAGACTAAAAAAGAGACAAACCTCACTTTCCAGCTATTTCTCAGAAGAAATAGAATCATTCTGATAGAATGTGTGCGGGTATGTCTGTATCTGTGTGTGTGTGTGTGTGTTCAAGAGTAGTATAGAGACATTTTAAGGGTTTTTTTCCTACAGAATAAAAGAGACACCCTGGCTAAAAAGCTCAGTTGCTAACAATAGAGGCAGATTACTCCCACCAAAGACAGAAGGTAAAAGGGGCACAGCTTTAGATTCCCACTGCACAATGCTCCTATCTTCAGATGCCCTAACGACCAGGAAGGTAGAGCAGGTGTTTCTGGTGTTCAATAGTAGTTTAATACTGCTACATCTATATGAACCCAGATGATAGCAAACAATCAAATATACGTGTAATGCCAGAAGGAGATGAGAGAGAGAATGGGGCAGAAGAAAAGTATTTGAAGAAATAATGTCTGGGATGCCTGGGTGGCTCAGTCGGTTAAGTGCCCAACTCTGGATCAGGTCATGATCTCAAGGTTTGTGGGTTTGAGCCCCATGTCGGGCTGTGTGATGACAGTGCAGATTCTGTGAAGAGTCTGCTTCAGATTCTGTGTCTCCCTCTCTCTCTGCCCCTCCCCTGCTCATGCTCTCTTGCTTTCTCTCTCTCTCTCTCAAAAATAAATAAACATTAAAAAAATTTAAAGAAATAATGTCTAAGATTTTTCCTAATTGATTAAAGACAGAAATTTGTAGATACAGGATTGTAAATGAATGCCACACAGAACAAGCAAGCAAACAAAACACTGGTGCACATCAGGGTTAAGTTATTGAAAGTCAAAGATAAAGAGCAAACATTGAAAGCAGCAAGAGAAAATAGCATATTACATAGAGGAGAAAATGATCTGATCAACACCTGACTTTCAGTGGAAACCAAGAAGCCCAGAAGAGAATGGAAAAACATCTTTAAAATGCTGAAAGAGAAAAAAAACCCTGTCAATCTGGAAGTCCATATTCAGGGGACATACAATTCTCACATGAAAGTAAAATAACATTTTTGGATAAAACAAAGAAGACTTGTACCCAACAGACCTGCGCTACAAGAAACAATAAGGGAAGTTTGGGGCACCTGGGTGGCTCAGTCAGTTAAACGTCTGACTTCGGCCCAGGTCATGATCTCACAGTTTGTGAGTTCAAGCCCCACATCAGCCTCTGTGCTGACAGCTCGGAGCCTGGAGCCTACTTCAGATTGTGTCTCCTCCTCTCTCTACCCCTCCCCTGCTCACGCTCTGTGTCTCTCAGTCTCTCAATAATAAATAAACATTAATTAAAAAAAAAAAAAGAAAGAAACAATAAGGGAAGTCCTAAATTATTTATTTATTGCATTGTCTTGGAGATTTACTACTACTGGAGGCATTACATATGAGCTCTAGATTCTCATAGCCTTCCTACTCTATAGGATAGATAATTTATTTATCTCATGGGATGCTTAGACTCTGAAATTGCTTATGTTCTCTATTATAGCCTCTTCCCACCATTGTGGGTTTGTTCTGAGGGTAGACTGAGTAGGAATGGGGTTAAGGATGGAATCTAATTAATTAAAACAAAGAGAGATTGATAGAACATAGCATATATATGGTTGGGGTGGGAAGAATCAGTGCAGGTAAGGAAAACAGATTGAGATTAAATGCTCCCATGGTAAAAGCTAGATTACCAGGAATAGACCCAAGACTCTATCCTAAATTGTGGAAGAAGCTGGGGAAGAAAAAGATACCTAGTCCCCTTCTTGACCTCTCAGCCTTCTCATACTATAGTAATTCCTAATCTTCTTTAGATTTAACAGGTATGCCTATATGTCTAAGGTAGGACTTAGTTCCTTCAAGTATCTGATCACCCATTAGGCTGCAGGTAAACAAGAGTGGTGGGATCTGGGAAATACTGGGAAATACCAAGGAGAGAAATTACAGATACAGTTCCAAGGTATGATCTGTGAGTAGAAGAGGATGTCAAAGAAGTAGGATGGTGGATATGTCACCTATGTAAATCATAAATACTGAATGAGTAGGATAGGATGGACAAATTGGCTTCAAGATTCCTTACGGAACCCTGAGATATAATGTTTTAGCAGTCGGGATACTACAGGTTCCCAGTTGTATACAGGACACCAATTTCCATGACAGGTTGCTAAATTTTTTACTTATTTTAGGGAGATGTTGAAATATTTTTTATTTTTTTATAAATATTCCTTTTTACAAACTTCATTTTTATCCAGCCATGGATTCAGCACCTCCTTCAGAAAGAAAAAGGACTCGGTGAATTTCCCCAGGTCCAGAACCCAGAAAACACAAATGGCATTGACCAAATGGTGGGAGGGATATAGAGACTGGCTATCTGCCTATCAAGAATTAAAAAAAAAAAAACAGGTTTCACACTAGGCCAAGTCTCTGGAGCATTATGTTGAGAAGGATTCAGAGGTTTAGACCCTTAAATATGGGCCCTGAAAGGGAGTACCACAATTAATTGGTGAGGTCTGCCATGAGAATGAGACCATATGCTCAAGAGTGTTGTCCTTAGCTTGGGTGGCTTATTTGCAGATTGACTGGTCCCCAGTAGATAAGAGACTTCCTGGACTAACACAAAGGAGTCAGGTCTCACTATGTCACTGAAGCACAGGACCTGTCTGTCAGGTCTTGGTTAGGTCCTAATCCGAAGAGTTAGGAAAAACACCGAGTGTGAGAGCGGGAAAAGCCTGTTTATCATCACTGATGTTTGCTAAGTCCCTCACACGGGTTGGCTGGCCAGATAGGCCTAAGCTTTGGAGCCATCCCTCTCAGGCCAGCCTTGCCATCTTCACCTGCCCTAACAGGTAAGTAATGAAGCCATGGGATCATTTGATCTGCACAAATTTCTCCTTTATCTGCTCCCCCCCTGGGGCGGCCCCCCCCCCCGGGGACATGAGTTTTGTATCTGGGACCAGCCCCACTCTGCCTCAAAAAGCCAAGAGAATTATTGGGTCTTGTAACCCCATTTTGTTACACCCATAGGAACAGTGACTCCTCCTCTAACCCCAGCTAACAGAAACCCTTTCTCTTGGAAGAATGCTGTGTTAAGGGCAAAGGTATATGGTAGTAACTTGAAGTCTGGTGTTTTGTGGGGAGACCAGGGACCAGAAGGGTTGAGAAAAAGGTGATACTCTGATCTTCAGTTGTCAGGCAACTATAGCGTGGGGAAGAATGTTCAGACCTGCAGGTAGTGGAGTTTGGGTAGAGATGAACGTCTTCTTACTGCGCATGAGAGTATATGGGGTAGTTGCTCTCCCAAGTGGAGGCAGGTGGGGAGGTCCCTCCCTACCTTGTCGGCCTTTGTCATGTGTTACAGAGAAGTGAGGAATGCTGAATGGATGACCATTGGGTATGGTCAGTTCTTCTGCGGGCTGTAACAGACCCATAAACAAGCGCAGGAACAGCCTCCTTCTCCTGCCCCAGATTCCCATTCTAGGAGAATCCCAGCTCAGATCAGCGCATTAACCCGAGAGAGGGAGAAGACGCCGGAGAGCACCCCATGTGGGGTGCAACAGGCATGTGTCAGACTTGGCTAGGCCTTCCCTGAAACCCTGGGGGTTCTGCAGAGGCAGGAAACGCACCACCCAACCTCAACATGTCACCTCGGGGAGGAGGAGCCAGGTGGGCCGTCGCTGGTCCAGGAAGGGCTGCCGGGTCCCGGGGCTTCCCCGAGGGGAGAGCGGAACTCTGGCACCAGGCCCGCGGGGTTCGGTGCCCCGGGACTCTTGGGGGTGAGGAGCCGCGCGCGGGCCAACTTCGGGTTCCCGACGGTGGGGGAGTCGGTGCCGGCCGCGGGCTGGCGGGCGGGCCGTCAGCCGCCCGGCCCGTCGCCTACCTCCCCGCCCCCCGGCTTCCTGCGGAGGCCGTGGCCGCCATGTTGTTGTGGGGCTGAGGCGGCGCCGCGAAGCCCGAGCGGCCGTGACACGCTGCGCAACAGGTTCGCTGTCGGCGGCCTGGCGACGAACCGGGCGGCGGCGGCGACTGCCGAGCAGGGTCTCCCGGCGTCCGCTCGCTCCCGCGCTGCGGGTGCCGAGGGGCACGGGGTCGCGCTGTGACGTACGGGAGGCGCGGCGGGGGCGCCAGGTGGGTGAAGCGACTGGCCGGGGCTGCGGCAGGGCGCGGGGCAGGTGCGGGCGCCACCGCGCTCGCCGCGGGGAGGCTCGGCGGGCCGGGCCGGAAGGCGGCT